TTCTGTCTATTGATATCCTGTATGAACTGGGCCTTATCCCTCGCTTCCATGGGACTAGTGACTAGTTTTTCAAATAGGAAACCACGAAGCTCTATTAGGCTGTCAATAAAATTCTGGGCTTCTGCACTTCTACTCTGCGTCTGCATCTGCAGGAGCCTAGCAGCCTGTGGGTTGCTGAGCAAGAGTCTCAGGACATTCTTGGTGGAGTCTTTGATCTGCTGCGTAAGTGGTGAGAGGCTGGATTTCTGCAGCTCTATGGAAAGGAGGCGGTCTCTGAGCCACCCTTCCTCCTCAGCCTCTTCCTGCTCCTGCAATTGCCTTTCTTTCTCCTTCAGGCACCTGACGTTTTCCAGGAGGACCTGGCAGAGATCCTCGTGCTCTCTCACTGCCCTCATAATGTCCTCCCCCAGCACCCCCTCCACATCCTCTCTGTTGGATGCCACATGTGACAGCAGGGTCACCAGCTCCACCTTGTTGATCGCCTCATCCAGGATGGACATGATCCTTTTGGCCTCAATGGTGGTGAGTTTGGTCCTAGAGGGAACCAAGGGTTTTAGTGGGTCAGCTGGCCTTTTAGATGGGTCTGTCTTTGGCCCTATTCTGGTGATGGCAGGGGCCTGATACAAAGGGGCCATGGCAAGAATGTCTAAAGCCATCTTGTGAGCAGCCCTCTGTGCCTCTGTAGGTCCGCAGAGATGGAGACTTCGGTAGACTACTTGGGTCTCATGCTTTTATTGTCTCTGGCCATCCTGCAAAAGGAAGAGGTAGGTGTGAGTGTAGCTGTGCTGACATCTGTGTGGTTAGTGTGGCTGCAGAAACCACAACTGTTGACATTAAGAGTTCATCTTAGGTCCTCTGTCGCTTTTACACAGAACCTTTCTCTGGAAGCAGTTTTCAGCTTTGTGAGGGTGTTAGGGCCACAAGGGCAGGAAGACCAAGCCTGGAGGCGTCTCAGGCACATGTGTCAGGCAGAGACTAGCCAGGAAGACAGATGCCATTCTAAGGATTTAAAACCAGGGACTGGTTACCTCAGTGATGGGAGAGTTGAGAGGCCAACCAGGGGAAGACAAAGCCATCCCACAATTGTCAATGGCAGGAAGCCACCACATGAAGAGGTGGTGAGCCTGGGGCCCAGGGTCATGCAGGGGAAGCTTTAACTACAGCCATCAGTTCCCAGAGGAGCTAGAGACATTGCCGGAAATGCAGGTGAAAGAACGGTGGCAGTGGGGGAGGAGAAATACCCTGGTTTCTCTCTTTCTACTGCCCTTGGCCAAAACCAGCAGGAAACCAACTGACAAGGGAGCCTGGGCAATGGAACCGCAGGCATCAGCCTAAGTCTGAGCAGGACAGGGACAGGGACAGGGCAGACAGTGGTTAAGACTAACAGGACTAGGAATGGCACATTTTCACTGATTTTAAAGTTTTTTTGTTTTGTTTTGTTTTGGTTTTGGTTTTTTTGAGACAGAGTCTTGCTCTGTTGCCCAGGCTG